GGACAACGGCGCGAACAACATCACAAAAGTTTAACACGGCCTTTCTTCGAGATGCTGACAAACTCAACAAATTCAACATAGCCCTCAGCAACAGGTTCGAGGCCTTTCATGACCTACTCAATGGAGAGGGGACTACCATGGAGAGCAACTGGAAAGGTATCAAGGAGGCAATCGTTTCAACGTGTCAAAAGGTTCTGGGCCAAAAGAAGCACCATCACAAGGAATGGATCACTGTTGGTACACTGGATACGATTGAAGCAAGGAGGAACAAGAAGGCAGCAATCAATATCAGCCGAACCAGAGCGGAAAAAGCCAAGGCACAAGCCGAATACACAGAGGCAAACAAGCAAGTGAAGAGGAGCATCAGAACCGACAAACGTAAATATGTTGAAGATTTAGCAACGACAGGGGAAAAGGCTGCAAGAGAAGGAAACATGAGACAATTGTATGATACAACAAAGAAACTTGCTGGAAATTACCGTAAGCCAGAAAGACCAGTGAAGAGCAAGGAAGGCAAAGTAATCACCGACATTGAAGAACAACGAAACAGGTGGGTAGAACACTTCAAAGAACTCTTGAATCGACCAGCCCCACTGAACCCACCCAACATCGAAGCAGCACCCATGGACCTCCCAATCGATATTGGCCCACCAACAATTAAAGAGATCAGCATGGCCATTAGACAAGTCAAGAGTGGCAAAGCAGCGGGACCAGACAACATCCCGGCAGAGTCACTGAAAGCAAATGTAGCAGCAACTGCCAAGATACTCCACATCCTCTTCAGCAAGATTTGGGACGAAGAACAAGTACCAACAGACTGGAAAAAAGGACTTCTGATCAAGATACCAAAGAAAGGTGATCTGAGCAAGTGCGACAACTACAGGGGCATCACTCTTCTCTCAATACCAGGGAAAGTCTTCAACCGAGTATTGTTAAACAGGATGAAGGATTCCGTGGACGCCCAACTTCGAGATCAACAAGCTGGATTTCGTAAGGATAGGTCGTGCACAGATCAAATCGTAACTCTACGTATCATTGTGGAACAATCAATCGAATGGAATTCATCGCTCTACATCAACTTCATCGACTACGAGAAGGCATTTGATAGCGTGGACAGGACGACACTATGGAGGCTTCTTCGACACTACGGCGTGCCTGAGAAAATAGTAAATATCATACGGAACTCCTATGATGGACTAAACTGCCAAATCGTCCAAGGAGGACAACTCACCGACTCGTTTCAAGTAAAGACCGGTGTGAGGCAAGGTTGCCTACTCTCACCCTTTCTCTTTCTCCTGGTGATCGACTGGATTATGAAGACATCAACATCTGGAGGAATGCACGGGATACAGTGGACAGGCAGGATGCAGCTTGACGATTTAGACTTCGCGGATGATCTGGCTCTTCTATCACAAACGCAACAACAAATGCAGGAGAAAACGACCAGTGTAGCAGCAGCCTCAGCAGCAGTAGGTCTCAATATAAACAAAGAGAAAAGCAAGACTCTCCGATACAATACAATATGCACCAATCAAACTACACTTGACGGAGAAGCTTTGGAGGATGTGGAAACCTTTACATATCTGGGCAGCATCATTGATGAACACGGTGGATCAGATGCAGATGTGAGGGCGAGGATCGGCAAAGCAAGAGCAGCATACCTACAACTGAAAAGCATCTGAAGCTCAAAACAATTGTCAACCAACACCAAGGTTAGAATTTTCAATACAAATGTCAAGACAGTTCTACTGTATGGGGCGGAGACGTGGAGAAATACGAAAGCCATTATCCAGAAGATACAAGTGTTCATCAACAGCTGTCTACGGAAAATACTTCGGATCCGATGGCCAGACACTATCAGCAATAAGTTACTGTGGGAGAGAACAAACCAGATTCCAGCAGAGGAAGAAATCAGGAAGAAGCGCTGGAAGTGGATTGGGCACACCTTGAGGAAATCACCTAATTGCGTCACATGACAAGCCCTCACATGGAATCCTGAAGGTCAACGGAGAAGAGGAAGACCAAAGAACACACTACGCCGAGAAATAGAGACAGACATGAGAAGAATGAACAAGAACTGGATAGAACTAGAAAAGGAAGCCCAGGACAGAGTGGGTTGGAGAAAGCTGGTCGGCGGCCTATGCTCCATTGGGAGTAACAGGCGTAAGTAAGTAAGTAAGTAATAAGACTCTTCATCAATGAGCATGAATTCAACTATTAAATTACTACAATCTCCACAACGTATTTTTATTATTTATTTAAACACATAAATATTGGGACAAAGAAGCACCAGATATATATGCACCACACAAGCCTCATTTGATTTGTGTGAAGGCTGTGATGCTACCCGAGTCCGAAAACCGAAACAGATGGTTTTCTTAGGAGGCCACACCCCGAGCCTTTGACCCATAGATCTGATCCACAAGGCAGTGAAACATCGTAAGGAGATGCAATCCAATGGTAGCCAGTGACCAACAATTGATTCATACGCCATTTGTTCCCTCAGGATACTTGAGCCCATGTGTACCATTGGTTTGTAATCAAGGTTTTCCAACTCCCCTAGGTGAACTTTCCATGTCCACTAACCCGGTTTAAGCGCTGGACATTCGGTTTTCGTCCTCGCAATTTCGTAAAGAACACCCACGCCACAGCGTATAAATTGTGCTGTTCAAGGGTACTCGGTTTATGTTTTTAAAATAACAGTTTCTTCATTTTGTGATAAAGTTTATCGTCAAGAGTTGATATCGATCGATGTAGAATTGTCAGATATGTAACCTATATGAAATACTATTTGTCTGTAGTGTTAATACTTTATGAAACCATTTATTGAAAACCTTTAATTTCAGTTGTTAAATATACTAAGTTTCTTAATGTAATTGTCATAAATATTTTTTTGGTCATAAAATTATGGTTATCAATACTTAGTGGCCGAGTGGATAACAGGATGGCGTTTGAAGCGAAAGGTACTAGGTTCGAGTCCCACAGTGAACATCAACTCTGAGATGCAGGTACATCCAGTTGACAAGTCCCAAATAGGACGAAACGCGCGTCAAACTGGATTCCACTGCTAGTCACTATCCATCTTTGCTTACCATGCTTGTGAATTTAAGCTATATCGAGGCAATACTCACAGTATGCACATATGCGAATTGGAGACTGACCAGTTGCAGTCCTAAAACATCAATGAGAATATTCAAACATACAATACTCAGTGAATATAAAATTATTTTATTGTAAAAATCGTGATTTTATTTAGAGAAATTAAATATCCAGCTTGTCGAAATTTTAAAAAGAAAATGATACTTTGTCTAATGGGATTGTACAACGATTTAAAGAAGAATATTGACTATTGAATTAAAGTCCTGCGACACGTCAACTTAGTATTGATAACAAGATTTATAAATTTTAATCTATGAATAGCCTAAAGTCGTGCATTAGTAAGGAGTTTTAGTTTAAAATAAAAATGAATATACACTGGACTAGCCCTTAAATGCCCTGGTACGGCCGAGAGTGGGGAGAGTCCGCTCTCCCTCTCCAAATGCTCTTACATGGCAACGCGTATACAGCCTCTGACAGGGAAATCCTACTCACTGCCTTTCCGTGGCGGGGGTGTTGTTTACGAAGGTGAGAGGACTAAAAGCGAATGTTCGGCTCTTTAACCGGGTTGATGGGCACGGCGCGTCTACCTAGGGGATTGGAAAATCTTGATTACAAACCAATGGTACACATGGGCTCAAGTATCCTGAGGGAACAAATGGCGTATGAATCAATTGTTGGTCACTGGCTACCATTGGATTGCATCTCCTTACGATGTTTCACTGCCTTGTGGATCAGATCTATGGGTCAAAGGCTCGGGGTGTGGCCTCCTAAGAAAACCATCTGTTTCGGTTTTCGGACTCGGGTAGTATCACAGCCTTCACACAAATCAAATGAGGTTTGTGTGGTGCATATATATCTGGTGCTTCTTTGTCCCAATATTTATGTGTTTAAATAAATAAACTGGACTTATGTTCCGTACGTATCTTGGACTATGATTTATATTAACGTAATGATGATTAAACATCGTAAACATTTGTCGTATCTTGCTCAGTCAGTCAATCAGTTATACACAAAATAAAACCGGACAAATTTGTACATCCTTTCAAGTTGTCACCCTACATCAGGACAGTGATATAGACTCTAAATTAGTAGAAACAATGACTGCTGCTTTTTAAGAGCGGTTATTTGTTATGATTTCAAATGCTAAACGATATCACATGTTATATTGCTCAATTAGAATTCTGGTGATCGATAAGTTTACCCATATGGCTAGTGAAACTAGTGGTCTCCTACTTACAAATTGACACATCAACCAATGAATGGTACCCAAGTCCTTAACGCTTATTGGTTTTCAGGCTCCTTCTAACCCATTATGTAATCAAAAGACTATAGTAGGAAGCAAAACAATTGTTTATCGTACTCATTTCAGTCATCACTCAAAACTCATGCAATAATATGCTTGGAATTCGTGATAACACAGCACACCGAATGAACAATCATACTTTGAGTACAATCATACTATCAGTGATAGAGGACGAAGCGAACAATACATAATCAATTATCAATAATTTAAGGACAGTAGAACGTATAATGTCAGGATACTTACAATAAGAGGAATATGAAAATGATGCAATACAGTTATCGATGAATTATGCAGTAAGAATATCGGTAATAATCCGAAAAATAGTTCCCGAGGTTCTAACTTAATATTCGTCCCGTTACAACGGCAGCAGTATTAGTGGTAATAGGAAAAACTAGGGATAGATATGATTCATGGAGAAAAAATGCATTTACGGGATAGAAAGTATCAGATAGTTTTAAAACTTTATATTTGTAGGAAGACAAACAATGAATACATCTGGGTTATTGGTATTGATTCTGAGTTATTTCATATTAATATCTACTAATAGAATAGAAAATAACCATTTCACCATATTGAATTTCTTTTATATTCATTTTAGCTATCTACAAACTTGACTGGTTATATCAATGCTAATTTTATAAGATCTATTGAAGTACCGCCTTCAGATGATACTTTACTACGAGCAAATGACCATTGTGAATTTATTGCTACACAAGGTCCACTTAAACAAACAATTGGAGACTTTTGGCATATGGTTTACATGTATAAATGTCCATTTATTGTTATGTTAACAGGGTGAGTTTCGATGATCAAGAATTATTAGTATGGGAATTTGTGGAGATTGTAGTTTCTTAACAATTGAATTCACGAGTCAATCTAAGATAGACTAAGACAAACATTATGTAACCTGGTGTGTTGACGGATTGATAATATATCCAGCCCAACTGATCTGTGATTGGCCAGGAAACTCAGACAAACATATTTGATACATCACATGTACATCATAATATATATTCTTTCACTTTATGTATTGTTACGGCAACCTCTTACTCTGTTCTATGTCTCGTTTCATATCGAATGGTTGAGTGATCGATTGCAAATATATCAGGTGATTAGCTAAGGTTAAATACCTTGGTCAAAATCCGAAGGTTTTTTTAATCTATCACGAAAGCTTGATAAGAGAGCGATTAATGTTATATTTGTCTAGTCTTCTGTAATATCCGAATTCTCAGAGTCCTAATGGAGGGCATTATCTGTCCTAATAGCATTATAATAATGCAACTGACTATGACATTCGGGTGATACGATTCTGGATGTCACAAGGACCATCGACTCCCTAAAGACTGCAGATACATCTTTTAAACTAGTACCAATTAAAACTAAACTTAGGATAAGCATGACTTTAACCAAACGTCTACATTGACGTCATACTTTCATTAAAATGAATGTACATCGAAGTGCTATCTGTTATTACTTTTTATGAAAACTGGAGAGCAACTCATAACATTCGCTTCCTATTTAAGTTTTTGACTAAATCGTAATATTTATTTAAATTAACTGTTCATTGTAGTAGTTATCTATGTGAAGAAAAATGTTGGTATAACTAGTAACTTGAAGCAACCAGATTTATGTGATATGTATGTTTTCTGTTTATCCAGATCACTATAAACGAACCTGAGTTTAGATATGCAGATAGCTGTGTTATTTATTACTAGTGAAAGTTCGAATTATTCTCTTTTTACATATTCAGGACTGAACTTTGACTACTCTTCGATGATATAAGTACATTATGTGCAGATTTCCCTGGTTTAGCCACTTGATAACATGGTTATTTTAGAAAAGATGAATCGTACCTAACAGTGGACTTCAGGACGTACTTATTGTGCTGTTTGGAACTCCAGCCTATTAACTTTCGCTTCAATTTCCGAAGCGTCATCCAGTGAGCTAATGGGTCCCGATAGTTACTAGCTTGTTCAAAGGGTAAGATGTTTATTATTAATAATAATAAGAGTTTGAATTATCTCGTTGTCGATATTCAGGGTTGATTTTTAGTCAGTCTTTGTCGGCAAACGTGCCTGTTGAGCGAATGATTTTAGTATAGTCATTTTGTGTTTAAGGCGAAAGGTTCAAGTCTCAATGTGAATATCAATATCGACATGAAGAGGTACATTTAGTTAACGAGTTTGAAATAGAATAAAACGCACATCCTGAATCCCACTGTTAGCTACAATCTATCTATTCTAAAAAAAATGTGGTTAACTTGTTAGTACCACTATTCTTTACTCCTATCGGAAAAATTATTTGTTTCTCCCACGAATGATTCTTATAGTTAGGAAATGTAAGGGTACTAAAATGTTATTAAGAATTAGTCATTAATAATGTAGGTCTAAAGAAACCCAACTAAATCTTTTATACAATGTTTAAAATGTTTTGAATGAACAAAGATTTGCTCTTTTAAAGCGAATTATGTCGTAAACTGTATAGAACATTTGGCTTAGTTTGTTTTTCAACTTACGGAATTATCTTTTACCGGTATTTTGTTAATAGGCTTCAATATAATGGTCAAACTATTTGTGATTTATACTGGCCGGAGAAATTAAACGTTCCTGAGCATTATAAATCCACTGGTTTTGAAATATCAGTTACATTACTTGAAACTAACCAGTCGGATTGTTTCATCAAAAGAATTCTCAACATTTCAATGGTTAGTTTCTAGAAGTTATTTTTATGCAACTGAGGTGCTACTATGTGAAATAATCAACATGGTGAAATAATCTTGTAGAATATTCAATGTGGTGTGTGTTTCAGACTTGAGTCAATATGAACACTAACAATTATTTGCTATTAAAATGCCGTTTATTTTTAACGTCCAGTTTCCACTAAGTGAGCAAGAATAGAATTCATAATCACTCAAAAGGAAATCTAGGCTGAGACGTTGACTTGGTGCATAATAGACTTCTCCAATAGCGTTCCGAGCTTAAAATTTCTCACCCAACATTTGGTCTTGGGAAGGCATGTGAGAGCAGGCACATGATATATCTGTACTTTCCTAGCCTATCAATATCGTTTGCTCTGCTCTTCATAAATATCATAAAAATTGCTTTCATCATACACCAGGGAATAGTATACCAGTCGATAGCGCTGAACTTTTGACTCCTGGATATTTGACTAAGCAACGTTTTGTCCAGAAAGTATTTCTTGAGATTTTACTTCAATGACTTGACAGAACTGAATTTCAGCAAGCAATTTTCCGTGACAATATAATGTTATTAGATAGAGAAAAAGCTACTCTGGTTTTTGTACATGTCTCTGCAATTTATCAGATAATCTCGATTATTGAAACATATACCTGCGACTGTCATATCACAGATCACTAATACTTTGGTACGATAATCCTGCTGATCACGTCATAAATATCTATATCGAAAAATCTTAATACATTTGACAACTAAATAATGCATGGTGAATTCATACTATGACAACAAAAAAATCCCATCGAATAGTACAACTAAAAAACAAATGATTATCCAAGCAATCAATTGTTGATAACTCAATCTTATAGCAGGTTGGTCACAGACTTTAAAGCTGCGTGACATAGGTTCGAGTCCCACAAGGAGCGTTATTTCCCTAAAGGTTGCATGTACACCTTACTTATAAATGTCAACTCATACGAAGCTCAGACTCGATAGGTTCTCCTGTCGACTATCTCCAGCTACCTAATGTGAATATCAAATCACCTATAGTAGTGCCCACATTGCAAGCTGATCAGTAAATTTTGATCACCACTCAGAAATTAGACAAGAATAACATTGGTCACTACTTGGCGACCAATCAACTGCAAATCCGTTAAGTCTGGATAGAATGTTTTTGAAAAATTAGATTATTAAAATCACAGTATAAATGTACTCTGATGATATCTTTTTGCACTTATCATTACAGGCGGTCATAAGTTTTTGAAAACTAATGCGGTTTATTCATTATTCGAGTAATCCTACTTACTCCTTCCTCAACTATTTTTTTTTCTTATCAGTCAAATAATTCGAATGAATCACACAATGTAACTCAAATACACTTCACAGAATGGGAAAATTTCAGTGTACCAACAATTACAGATATGGATAAACTTGTGAAAGAATATGAACAGAATTATCAATCTCTTGTTTATCATCAACCTACTACAGCCTCAATTGGACCAACTGTTGTACATTGCAGGTAATTCAATTAATAATGTCGTCCACTTCCAAGTTGTGTAAAATTTTTAAAAAAATACCACGACATACACTCGTTAACACCTGATAGTATTACTAAATTTCAGAGCATGTCTTTTTATTCAGCGCTAGAATGATTGTACTGTTCCATATGAATAAATACTAAGGGGTAGTATGTATTTGCATCCGTTGTGTCATTAACGGGATACTGGTGTTTGTTCACAGACTCAATCAAAGCATTGCTTGCTTATTTTGAGACCGTATAGTGAGCAATGCTGAAGTTATACTCAGGATATAAGGTAAATATGCCAAATCGATTAGTAAGGCTGTTAATCTTCATTGGGATATATATATCGCATGACCCCAACGACTAACTCCCTTGACGCTAGTATATGAGTAGATTGAAAGCTAGAGGTGGCCAAGCCAAAACGTAGAATCAATTCATGGATAATAAATTTCTGGGTTAAGCCATATTAGTAGTTCCATACTACCAGGTTAATGTTCTCGTAGCCAGTGAAGACGTTGCTTGACATGGCTCACAATGGAGTATATGCATTCACTCTTTCTCTTCCTCCCTTATTTCTTGAGTTTAAAAAAAAAATTATTTCATACTTTTTATTCTGCGAATTCATTCATTTTGCTTGAATCATGGTTCTACGCCTAATATTTTCTGTCATCACACACGCACCGAGTTCTACGTTATTGATGATTAGGCGATGGTTTAATGGTCAAGACGTTCAGTATTCAGCATTTATGCAACAGATTAGAGTCCTGATTTACTTACTTCAGTTTCAGCACGTACCACTTAGCCCTCACATATAAAGTGTGGCTTAAATCCGAGTAAATGAATTTTTACTTGGCAAATAAGTAACATCATTATCACTACTGAAAAATTATATTGACCAGTGGAGTAAGGCATTACATGGGATTTTTATTTCATATTTAACAGAACTTATCAGTATGACACATGTTTGAATTACGAAACACTTTAATGTGACTACAAAAAGCAGGATTTCTGAAAATATACTAATGAACAATCTGTTGAAGTCTGAAAATAATTGAAGGAATGTACAACGAAATTCTAAGTTCTGCATATCACGCTTCTTTTACAAAGGAGATGGAAATTAAGAAAATTCCCTAAACATAATCTACGGCAATTGTTTCAACCTATAGATAAAGATTTACACTAATTGAGTAGACCTATTTTATACGATATAACAAAATGATTCATGTTCAGTGAAAACATAACTGAGTTTTACTGCCTAATGATCGATATATGAAAAGAACGGTGTAACCGAAATGTTTCACCTGATACAAATTGTGTACATTCATGTCATTTGGAAATTGAGTTTTTATCGCTTCTGGAATATCCCGAAATTACCACTTATCTAGCGGTTACAAGTTAAAAACCTATTCTAACCTCTTAAATTTTCAGAAGGGGTTTTGTGGAGATTTCAGTATTTCCATAGTTGAAATCATGAGTCAATTGAAGCTAGACCACCATGGGAAACCTGAAAGCACTGGACGGCCGTTCCGTCCTATTATGGGACTCCTCAGCAGTGCGCATCCACTATCCCGCCTCGCGAGATTCGAACCCAGGACCTGCCGGTTTCGCGCCACAGCACTTAACCGATAGACCACTGAGCTGGCATTCAACAGTTGCTCAAGCTTCGTGGATTGGTTGAAGTGAGACATTAACACCGTTGGATGCCGGCTCAGTGGTCTATCGGTTAAGGGCTTCGGCTCGAGACTGGTAGGTCCTGGGTTCGAATCTCGCGAGTGCGGGATCGTGGATGCGCACTGCTGAGGAGTCCCATAATAGGACGAAACGGCAGCCCAGTGCTTACAGGTTTTCCATGGTGGTCTAGCTTCAATTTACTCATTATTTCAACTATGGAAAACTCTTAAATTTTGTAATGTGGAGTAATATTATGACCTTCAAACGAAAAAAGTCTCACAACCACTAACTTAACTTACATTGTACTCGTTATTCCCTTTTTGCATATCACAAATCAATGCTACCATACTAAATATGACTTTATGTAATCTTTTCGATTCTTTTTAAGTGCTGGAGTTGGTCGAACTGGAACATTTATTACTGCTCTTATCGTTCGCAAACATCTTCGATCTGGCTGTCATTGGATTAGTCTACCAAGTATAGTTTTAATGCTGAGACTCTGGCGTTACTGCATGGTTGAGTTGACAGTGAGTTTTTGCAGCTGACTTACTGATATGATTCATTTAAAGCAAACATCAGTATAAACACAAACTTTAAAACTGAGGACTGAGATGAGTTTGGTTATACTTAAATTCATTCAGATGTACAGATTTCTACACTACATTAAAAAGTGACAATATAGACAACCGATTTCACTTTTGTATATGTGTAGTGCAGAGATATATGTTGGAACTTACCTTACTAGTTAATTCAGTTCATAATTTAGAAATTTTATTGACAATGAATGCGAGAAAGTCATATTTACAACTCACGTCATCACTAATCATGGACCATGTATGTTACAACTTGCACTGACGTGTTGTAAAACAAACAGGATTCTTCACAGAATAATAGTTCTTTACAAAACTCACCAGTAACAACATAATCAAACTAGTGACAGGATGCTATCAGCATGCTATTCGGCGCTTTAATATTGCCTCAAAGTGTCTACAAAATCCACAACCCAATTCTGTCTATTGTAGTATCTGTAATGATAAGCTTAGAGCATTATTTACTTAAACATTGACAACTCAGTCAAATGAAATCCTCGAAAAAATTAGTTGATCATAGCCGATGAAACTCAGGATCAATCGTAGGTACAAAAACCCATTGTGTTTCTACTGTTTTATGCCTTAATTTTCTTGAATAATCCCGGACCTATATACACAAGTGACACAGTTCTGTTTACTGAAGACTCTGACGAAACGGGGTTTTCTGATCGCCTTAAATAACAATGCCATCATGTTTAGGATGCTTTTTCTCATCTGAATGCAAAATTTTGTTTCAGGACTAGTATGCGTTAATGCCTGAACTAAAGATATGGATCGAAGTAGTTGACCTCATCGATCACTTATCTTGGACGTTTCATCCGCCCTAGTAGGTTAGTGTCTGACGAATTCTCTGGACGGATTCAGTAAGCTCGCTTGGCTTTTGTCAACTTGCATCACCTGTGGCGTATGCGATATGTCTATCTACTAACCAAGGGACGAGTATACTGTACAGTAGCTCGTTTTATTTTAATTTATGTGTAAGGAAACTTTATATTCGTAAGTTACTAGTTATTATTATTATTTAGACACATAAATATATGTACAAGGAGGCACCAAATAGATATGCGTCATATGAGTCATTCGATTTGTGTGAGAGCTGAAGTATGACCCGAGTGCCCGAACCGAAGCAGGTAGTTTTATTAAAGGGACACTCCTCGAGCCTTTGACCTATAGGTCTAATCCACAAGGCAGTAGAGCAACGTCAGGAGGTGCAGTCCCATGGTGGCTGCTGACCAACGATTGGTTCATACGCCATTTGTTTCCTCAGGATCCTGGAACCCATGTGCACCAATGGTTTGGAATAAGAGTTTTCCCACTCCCCTAGGTGAACTTTATGTGTCCACCAACCTGGTTAAAGCTCCGGACATTCGCTTTTCGTTCTCTCAATTTCGTAAACAACACACCCGCCACAAGAAGGCAGTGAGTAGGACTTCCCTGGCAGTGGTTGTATGCACGTGGCCATGTGGGAGCATTTCAAGAGGGTGATTAATCTTTAGTTGATCTGGAAACATTATTCGACTAACCAAGTAAGAAGTTCTACTTAACGTTGCTTCACAATTTGTCGTACAAAAGAAATCTCAAGAAATGATTTATCTTTAATGAACTGGAACATTTCTATACATAACGTTATATACTACACTAGCCAGTTAGTTGGTTTAGTATCGATAAAAAGTAAGTAAAAAGAAGATTTAAAATAAAATCTAAATGTTAATAGTAACAATCAGACATTCATAGTTGCAAGCATTAGTAAATTGAAGCTAGACCACCAAGGAAAACAGGGAAGCACTGGACGGCCGTTTCGTCCTATTGTGGGACTCCTCAGCAAGAGGTAAATCATGGAGTTCTAGTGAGAAGCAGTGATCAGTTGAGTTCAAACCACGTCTGTTGTGAGATAAGAACTCACTGAAGACAATTGGTAAACGGTCGCTCAACTTCCTGGATTGGTTGGAGTTAGACATAAACATCATTGGAGGCCGGCTCAGTGGTCTAGAGGTTAAGCGTTCGCGCACGAAACTGATAGGTCCTGAGTTCGAATCTCGCAGAGCGAGGTCGTGCATTGCTGAGGAGTCCCACAGTAGGACGAAACGGCTGTCCAGTGCTTTCAGGTTTTCCACGGTGGTCTAGCTACGATTGACTGACGCTCTCAACTATGAAAATACTAATTCTCCACAAAACCCCTTCTGATAATAATAATAATCATACATTCATTGGTATTTTTACTTTTAAGGAACAATACCTATTCCTACATGAGTATTTTGCATATATTTTGAGTCAAGAAAGATATTGCCAAAGTAAAATACAAACAAATTGAAGAATGATTATTGTATGTACTAAACTATAAACGACGAATATACTATTGTCAATGTGTGAACTGGTAATTTAAATTAGTTACATTGATTACATTTTTCCACCTTAAAACAAGAAATCCTGTATTGATCAAGGTTTTCTTTTCAAAATATTCAGTACAAGTTTTTGTACATAATTTACCAATCTAATTCTTACATTTATTGTTGTTTACAATATATTAGTATGTTGTTTTAAAAACGAAATACTTTTTAGTTTGATCCACATTCAGTGAACTGAAAAAAAACCATCTTGGCATCTATAAGATGTGGGATTATATTTCCAGATGGTCTGTTTTGGGTCAAAGCTTACCTTCAAGGACTGTTTTGCTTCCTAAATGATGTACTGTTATACCTGTCGACCCACAACAGTAATTGTATTTTTCAACCTTAAGGTACTATTTGATTCTCTAGATCGACAGCTTTTATGAAAGTTTATGTTATTGAAACAGCTACTGAAGAAGTACATAAATCTTTTACAGGCCCTTTATTCGAACACTACCGGTTAAGTCAGAGCCTATGACGAACGATCATTGGAACTATCAACCTCAAGATGTGTTATTCAGGGTTGTCTGCTTTCCTCATTTTATTCAACTTTGTCGTAGACATTTTTTAGAGATAACATTCACCGTCCGATTTATCATGTATGATGTACCAGAAGATTCTCTTGTTAACTTGGAATACGCAGTTTTGTTTCGTGAAGACTTTAAAGTGTTCTGACCGCCTTAACCAGCAATACTAGCATGTTTGGGATACGTTTCTCTACCACTAGACGCAAAATATTGTTTTAGGATCAGTATGCATCAACGCCTGAACTAAGGATACGGAGTAAAGAAGTTGAGTTCGTCGGTCACTCCATTTATTTTGGAAGTCTTATCACACCCTTAGTGGGTTAGTGAGTGGCTAGATTTCGAGATGAACTCAGGAGGTTCGATTGTCTTTTGCTAAATTATGCTACTTAAGATGTAGATGAGATATCCTTTCGCCAACTAAAGGAAGATCTCACTGTACAGCAGATTATAAGTTCTTTTTATTATCTCATTAATTATATTTTCTTTTCGAACTACATCTTCGATGCCTAATCATCTCGATTACCATTAATCCTGTTACTACTCTTGGATTTGCCCCGAAAATTTTATCTTGCTATGCTAATGGGTTGTTGCATTTTGAACAGATGTATACACATGAGCTAAGTTCTAAGTCACTTTTGACTAACTGTATAATCACTAAATAATGTCCTATCATGCAGCAGGTAAACATCAGAAGTACAAATTTCTACTGACTGTTCAAAGATTTCATAAGGAACAGCAATTGATGAATTCTTTAACTACGTTATAACAGTAGTTTTCATCCCCTTTTGCAACTGTTTGGTCCCAAATAACAATTTTGGTACTGACAATGTGATTGCCAGACGAAGTAAAATAGAAAATTTTGTTTGATTTGTTTGACTTCCCCACAATCCAGTTCTAATGGCGTCGGGGATATATATCTGTAAGCGGTACATTTTAGTGGGTCCACTCTCTAGTGAAATTACTAATTTAAGAATATCAAGTTTAGTTATATGTATACTTTGAAGCAGACTACTCAGCAAGAAGCAATTCATGTTTTCAGAAAAAAAAGCAAACAAGGGTCGCGTATTTCAATCCTACATACAACTAGGTAGGTCTTACGAATTTATTTCCAGAGGGATTTCCCTTTCACAAGGAAGAGTACGCAGTCGTTTTAAAGTAAGCTATAATTCATAATTGTTTAGAATGCTTTTGCGATTGAGAATTTGAATGTCATTACAAAAAAAACGCGAAGGAATCGAAAATCCAGTGTTATATTTATAAATTAACAAATCAACAAAGTAACATACACTTTTTGGTTATACACACATTAATGACTGAAAAATGAGCGGTGAGTAGAACGTAATGTAAAACACCTAACTTCTGGTATATCTTTTTAACGTAAACTAACGCTGAAATCAACAGGTCTTCTAGATTGAACGCTACCAGATGAACTAACGTTGAACAAAGCTTTGCGGACAACATCTGCGTCTACTTCGACCGGAATGCCTGATTTGTTCAGAGACTCACGAATAACTTGTTTAGCTTGTGTTTCAGTTTGCTTTCTGAGCAATTAATTACAAAGAAATATGGAGAATGATAAATATAGATATAGAAAAATAATATACATTAGTTAGAGATTTATGATTAGCAGAATATACAAGCATGCCCAAGTATGGCCGAGGGTGGTGAGGGTCCACTCTGCTTCCCGAAACGCTCTCACATGACCACGCGTATACAGCCACTCCCACAGAAGTCCTACTCACTGTCTTCGCGTGGTGGGAGTGTTGTTTACGAAATTGAGAGAACGAAAAGCGAATGTCCGGAGCTTTAACCAGGTTGGTGGACACATAAAGTTCACCTAGGGGAGTGGGAAAACTCTTATTCCAAACCATTGGTGCACATGGGTTCCAGGATCCTGAGGAAACAAATGGCGTATGAACCAATCGTTGGTCAGCAGCCACCATGGGACTGCACCTCCTGACGTTGCTCTACTGCCTTGTGGATTAGACCTATAGGTCAAAGGCTCGAGGAGTGTCCCTTTAATAAAACTACCTGCTTCGGTTCGGGCACTCGGGCAGTACCACAGCTCGCACATTAAGTGACTTGTGTGGCGCATATGCATTCGGTGCCCCTTTGTACCAATATTTATATGTTCAAATAAATAAATCAATAAATAGATTAACCTTCCATAATTTGGTCCAAGTCTTGAGGCCATGCGAGCAGAAGTGTCACGTTCACTGGGTAAATCACTAACTGGTGTAGTAAGGCTTACACGCATTGGACGACCATCTAGTTCACGACCATTATAACGTTCAATTGCTTCAAGCGCATCTGAAGAATGATTATAAATTACTTCTGCCTGGCCAGGCCGTGTAACAGTACACAGACGTAAACTTCCAACGCTGCTAAATAGCTCCTACGAGAAAAAAGAGTAACAAATTAATTTTTATATTCGTATAAAATAGTCATATTCGATAACTAATGCTTCTTAGTTTAATGAGTGAATAAGAGAGCATAAAATGATGCTATTTCGGTTTCCTCAACAAGATTACTCATCAAATAGTAGAAAAAAAATTTGGCAATACATAAAATGAGCAGTGTATTGAGTTTCTTCATTTTTTAAGACAGACGTTTGTTGGCTTAAAGTACTTAGTCATATATATATTGTTCAAGTGCATATATATATCGAGGACCAATGGAGTAAACAATACTGAGGTTGGATTTAGAGGTAGTGAATCTTTATCAACTGAGGTAGTTTGGTCATACCCAGTCACCGCTTACCTCAGCATGCAACATTTGCTGGTGTAGAAGTTAAATGATAGAGGTGGCTGAACTAGAATGTAGTGTAGTGTGCGCTCCTTATGTGGACAGATATGAGTAGTGTGTAGCAGGAATGGGAGGCGGAATGCTTACTGCCAGAAAAAAAGTATGAAGAAGGAGAACGGAGAGCATTGAAATAACAACATAATCAGAACGATGGAGTACGTAAATAATAACTGAAGGAAGATGTGCAAATGTGTTATGTTTGGAGTGATTACGAGTTCCCTGATCGGAGAACGGAACAAAGACTCTGTGACAAAAGACCAATAAGCTAGCTGTTCTGACACATCTCAGCCCCGCTAACTAGAGTGAGACGTCCAAGTTCGAATTAGGGAGAATATATTCCGTAAGCAGCCAGAAACACAAGCTATTGCAATCAGTGTAGTCGAAAATACACTCATTTATATATTGGTTTGTACACCCATTTTTGGTTAATAGTCAGAATACGTCATATATATTAAAAATAATTCATACAAGAATGTCGTATGTTATACAGAATAAAAGGTCATAGGAGAAAAAAACAAGTACTTTACTCAGTGACCGTCAAATTGAAATAAACGGAATTAATACATTAAATAGGAATAATATATTTGTAAAATCTCAGCGAATGAATTTGTAGTAAATCCAACGTTTCGCCTGGCAATCTGTTCCAAGTTTTTTCAAGGAATTATAATCAAACATCAAAATTATTTTATTATTATTATTTTGATGTTTGATTATAATTCCTTGAAAAAGCTTGGAACAGATTGCCAGGCGAAACGTTGGATTTACTACAAATTCATTCGCTGAGATTTTACAAATATATATTATTCCTATTTAATGTCTTACTTCAACTCGGCGATCAAATACTGTGAAACTATTCGCTCTAATTTAGACGAGAGTTCTTATATAAACGGAATTAATGTTGAATAAAAATAATAATGAGTAAATCAACCTAATTTTGATCTTTCATCCCATCATAACAAAATGATATATTTAATGTATGATTTTCATGCTTCACAAAGGTATTGCGATTTCGTACAAAATAATATATTTTTTCTCTCCAATAAATCTTTATTCACTACAGTAATATTCATGTTGGTAAATTGTGGTATTTTTATGAACTAATGATTCTTTGGTACTTGATGAATGCTTGATTTCGAATTCCCAATTCAATACATTCGTTCATGCTCACATAGTCCTTCTTGGTTAAATTGCGTTATTTCTGGGATTCCTAGTTTGTAAAATAATTCAAATACTCCTAACCATTACGTAAATGTACATGATTCACTTAAAAATCGTAATCGGTAGTTGGAGATATTGAGTTACACGCCTCAGAATCAGTCACAACGGCTCAGACTCACTTACTTAATATCTCGCCATGTATTCTTAGTCCAAGAACTCCATGTACACCTTTTTATTGTCTTTCCGAATCATATTCTTAATGTCTAGCTTTTCTCATTATCATTGCTACTAGGTTATTTTGATTCTTTTGCTATTTGTCTTGTTAACTTTATCTCGTTGTGCTTATGAAGTATGAGAACTTAAACCGACTCACTTATATAACAGTCTCGACATCGATTATAACTGACAAACAGAAATAATCATCAGCATAGAGTCTGGCACAGATGTGCAATGACCTAAATTGTTATACCACAGTAACACAGATGAATGTAACAAGTATAACCGCAAGAGATCGAAATAATGTGGTAGAAATAATAATGAGAAAGAATAAACACTAGAAATATGACTCGAAAAGACGGAATGAAAAGGTAAATTTAAAGGAACTTAAGATCGAGAGTGAATGCATTTGCACCATTACGAACTATCCCGAGCCATGTCAACCAAAATGTACAGCTACTGACCGTGGTTAGTGAACGGTGAAAATACTAAGAGAATACTAGGACGAGACCGGCGTCCAGTGCTTCCAGGTTTTTAATGGTTATCTAACTTGGAATGGTTTGTGATCCCAATAAAAACACACTAAAATACCTTGTTTTCAAATCTAAAATACAAGACTGGTTTCTTTCACTGCGTAATTCAACAGTTGACAGTGAAGCGATTCCAGAAGTCGGTCACTCTACTCGCTTTTTAAGCTTCAATAACTCCAATGACTTGGTGACTGAAAAAACTTCGACACGGATTTGAAAACCTCCCTAGGTTTTTTTAATATACACCACTGTAAGAGATGCGAAATGTTCATCTGTATTTCAGAGTATACTGAGCAGCAGTTCATTCTGTATCACTTTATGACAGTGAAATAGTGTATATTTAGGTTGAATACACAGGTAGGTAGTTATATGTTGAAGATCGATGATTTAGTAGGATTCTTATTGCATAATGGTATGACTGAATGAGCAACGATGTAGCTGAGATAAATAGGTAAATCATTTGATAAGGCTACCAACTTTATTCGATTAGAGGAGCTGGGATATTTGATGAATATACCTAGTAACCTTTCAGTTTATTCGTTGGGGGGGGGTAGGATTAGGTTGGATAAATGCTAAAAGTGTGCAAAACAAAATATGTTTTGAATCATAAAGTGTTTGAGATAGTAGGAATTCAGAAATTAGATTGACTATAATGGCAAAGATACATTCACGAGTAAAAACGTGGAAAGCATGCATTTCGGGGGAGGTTTCATGTTACATCTGTTTGAAATACAGCGTATCGTCTTTATATAAATATAGTTACTTATTTAGCAGTTCGAAAACATGGGGTTTTAAGATGAAAAGTACCTACACAGCATTCTGTATTTATTACGGTCACCTTTTCTGTATTCTTCAGGATTACCATGCTCTGATGTTTTTCTTTCCCTGGATCATTTTGACTAAGGAGTACGTTTGTTGTCCAATAAATCTCCATACATTGTTTGTGTTTTTACTTACGTCGTGCGATCTACGGGATCAAGTAGTCAGTATCAGTTATCTGTCGTTACAACTGACAGAATCGCTTATAACTTAATAACTGTTCAAGTGTTTTAAAGGGTGAAATAAATCCTTTTCTGTGCTTATTTATGTCGTGCAAATTGCCATGATGTAGTTCCAAGTGCTAAAGTAATCCTTATAATTACAACAGTTCAACAATGCTTATTTTTTGAGAAAAACAAAGTGTTGTGAATAAACACTAAGGATTCATGAATCTCAAATGATAAATGGAAGCTTACTACTACTTTAAATAATGATATTAGTTATGATCAAGTCGAAAATCATGTCTATGACGTCATAAAGATAATCATAATTTCTGCAATACCCCAGAACTATCACATGTAACTAACTAGATTATAAAACAACGAAATATAACTTACGAATACATCATCTAGCGTAACGGACGGTTGAAGGTTACGGATTTCCACACGGAAACCTTGTATTGGACTAATCTTAGGCCCTGATGAAGAAGCAGACACTGGAACTTCATTAAACGGTAATAAGTTAGCAAATAACCCAGAAGGGGGTGTAGGGTTATTGAGAAAATCAAGAGGATTAGGAAGAGGCAACGGTAAGCTCAGCAGATCAGGAATACCTGGACGAAAGGATGTTGGACGTGGTTTTCGCTGAAACATAAAAAATTTTATTAATAGAAATCCCATAATGACGAAAAAAATCACCAGTTTTCACTGAACTAAATGATGTAGTTTGACGTCACAACCACTTACTGGATCATTACAAACATAGTTCTTTGTTTTTAATTTTAATACGCGTAAAATGTATTAACCGTCAAATATATACCTAGAGTACTTTAAACTGCACAACGTATCGAACTAGATTTCAGTTGGAAAATACCAAGAAACTAATATTCTTTAATAAACTGGGATGAAAGAAGTGAAATAACAACACTCAGATGTAAAAATTTCAGTTACGAAGGATTATGGAGCTCAATATTAACTTACTGAATTTCGTAGATTGTTTATTTGACCTCCAAAAAGTTCATTTTTAATCTACAGAACAAAGAAGTTAGCTCAAGTGAAGCTACATGAAAGGAAATCAAGTTTATTGATATTAGCACGAAAGAAAATAAACGTTAACAAAAAGTAACATATAAAGAATTCAATTCGTAGCAAGAAGTATTACATCGAACGAAATGAATGCTCCTTTTGGCTACGTGTACATGAACATTGATTAGCATTTACGCAATATGATATATTATCACTGATATCAATACATTAAAACAACTCTGGGTCAGGGAAACTTCAAGATCCTTAAATAATTTAGAAGAACGTGACATTTATATCAATTGTCAATCAACCACGAGGACAGATATCAACCAATAAAGACAGTCAGCATGAATAAAAAATAAAGACAGTAAAGTGTACCAAGATGGTCAATTACATATAAGGCCAACAGAACTAAGTGATATAAAACTTATGGAATAACTGAAAAAAACACTCATATATGAAATAGGCGCTGAAAATGTATAGAATAATAGTAAAAGCTCCGCAATTAAACCACCTAGCCCAGAAATCATAACACTAAAAGCATTCACCTAATTTGTAGATCATTTTCAGCCTATACGAACATATGTACAGGCGTGGATCTTCAATTAAAGTAATTCGCAAGTATATGAAGTTAACTATCACATTTAAAGGATACCAAAATGCAAATGTCATTATTTACCAGGGAACTTTTAACTAAACATAAATGTACTCCTTGCTAAGTAGTCAGTCATGACTTACGTAGAATTTAGCACAAATGTTTATTGGACGAATTTTTAAATCAGTCCAATGAGAGGAAGTTAACAAGATACATAACGAAGAAATAAGTAGTACCAATGATGTTTTGAAAACCAAACTTGAAGAATATAGTTCGAAAGAACTGAAATAAACAAGGAAATAAAAAGTCTGGAACAATTTCAAAACTCATGGAGGTCAAGATAGGGAATGAAGTTGTTTGGACCACTGCAGCCAACCATAAGCCATGTCACCTGAGGTCTTTAACTACTGAGCATGGTTATCGTCCGGACTCCAACCAGTCTACACAGGCTAACCAATACGCTTCATAATCCGTTAATAATATTTGACTGTAAACGAAATTGAGATAACGAAAAGCGAATGTCCGGAGCTTTAACCAGATTGGTGGACACGGAGGGTCTGCCTAGGGGAATTGGAAAGTTCTGGTTTCAAACTAATGGTGCATATGGGTTCCAGTATTCTGAAGGACTGGGACTGGGACTGCATCTCCTAACGCTACTCCACTATTTTGTGGACCAGACCTCCAGGTCAAAGGCTCGAAGAGCGTCCTCCTAAGAAAACCGCTTGCTTTGGTTCGCGCACCCAGGTAGTATTCCAACTCTCACACAAATTGAAAGATTTATGTGATTCCTTGTACCGAAGTTTGTGTTTAAATAAAACTTTAAAAATAAATCATATAGTTTAGGTTGTTGCAATTAACGAGTCACTAAATTTATGGAGTGAACCAAAGGTTTCTAAAATGTCCCACAAATTATTCTTACTGAGATCATAAGCAATAAGATTTCTGATTAAAAACATTTAAAACTGACAATAGACAGCGTTAAATACGATGGGACTTATATTAACATTTACTGTGAAGCACCGGATGTCTGTTAAAATTCAGCATAAATTGCAGGTGTTTTTCAAACTTCATTAGTTCTATTATAGCCTAAGTAATACAATCTTAACAAGTCAGGTAATGTAATGAACAAACCAGAATGTATGGATATGACTGGTGGAAATGATACTATGTTATTGGGCTGAATGACATACCTAAGAAATAAAATTTGCAAAAAGCTTTGCAAGCGAGTATTAAAAGTTAACATGGTGTAAGGATAATGGCGTAAAAACACTACAGAGTACAGCTAGTAGGAATTAAAAAGCGGTTTTCGATTCTTTTGGACGAAGTTTGATAAGAAATGACATTTGTCGTACATCACATGACAAGTTCCATATAAATACTGTTGCACACTGATCGAGGCTTTCAAACTTGTCGAGAAAATACCCTTCGTCATCAAAAAGTGGGAGACAAGAAAACGGCGAGTCAAACAACCCAAATCTTTTCGGAGGTACAATGAGCAACAGCAGCTAATAGCGTGTAAATACATAATTTATAGCGATATCTAAGCATGACCTCCATATATTGTGGTCTCTTCATTCTATCTTGTTAACTCTTCGACTAATTTGTTAGTAAAGTTTGTGAGCTACTGAAAATTCTCTGTGAATCTACTATCACGAGAAAAATACTTAGATAAATGAAGTTTCCTAGAGACGTATCTCAGGTGTTACAACAGAACTGATAAGAAACCTTAGACTTGAATTGTCCAGAGTTAATAATCACACGGTATTAGTACCCTTTTTGGCAAAATTCTTTTGATTTAAATCAACTATCCTTATTAGCTGAAGACTGAGTTCTAACTTAATTATTTTCTTTGTAGCTATCGAGTCCACTCCATAGTAATTACACCATAACTATCTAACTCGTCTGGAATTAAGACCACTACCAGTATCATTAAAACAGGTTCTTGCCAATAAAGGTACGTGCTCTAGAGAAGTGAGGAAACAACATAACGTGATTACGTTACTTAAGCACATTTTAGTTAGAATTACATACCGTTCTTACGGGAATGAAGAACGGGACCCTGGGATTTCGACGTGGCTGAGGTATATTCCTCGACCTCAAGACATTTCTAGCGTCGCGAAATGTCGAGTTACGTTGACGAGTACGGTTGCGAAGCAACGTCCGTGCATCAGGTGTTCGTACAGTAAGATTAAGCTTGTTTCTGAGATCATTTCGACCGTTGATTGCTGAAGAATTAGTCTTTCCTAGTCGTCTTCTAGGATTCCAATGTATAACACTGTTTGGAACACTTACTTTACAGAGACTTGTCTGAGTCGCCTCTCAAACGTATCGTTCATTATTAAAATGAAGACACAATGCATGTAAGACTTATAACAAAATGAATGATAGTGTTCCTTTGTGGGTTTTTTTGGGGTGGTACGACCACGGATTGTTAAAAAAACTTTGCCTTTATATGAAAAACTAGTTATAAGCTTTAAATGCTATGGGTATACATAGTAGAAACAACGAACATTTCCATCAGATTTCTGTCAGCTGTAGTAGGAAGGACACAACCTGTACCTCTGAATTTAGATCTTCACCTGTAGTTTACCAATTTCCTGAGTAAATTGGTATGTTTACCGAGTTTACGTGAATTGTGCTTTTAGTTGCTACCATTACCAAATTACAGCTTATTACTCACTCTTGAAAAAGCATGGGCTGCCGACCAGTATTCTTCATCCAACTCTATCCTGGACTATCATTTCCAGTTATCTTCAGGTGCTATTCATCCTTTTCACGTCTGCCTTCACTTCCTGACGAAGTGTTCTTTGACCTTCCTCTTTTTCGTTTTCCTAGATGTTGGTTTGTGGTTGTCTTTGAATTTTCAGCTCCACACAATAGAACTGTCCTGACGTTTGTATTGGAGATCCTGACTTTGGTATTTGTTGACAGTTGCTTTGAGTTCCGTATGTTCTTCAATCGTAGGAATGTGGCCCTTGTTTCGCCAATCCTGGCATTAATATTTGCATCGGATCTTCCTTGTTCATCTTTGGTGCTTCCTAGGTATGTGAAAGACTCCACATCTTACAGGGTTTCTCCATCAAGTGTGATGGGGTTGGTGTTCTCTGTGCTGTATTTGAGGACCTTGCCTTTTCCAATTGGTGCAGAGGCTGCTGCTAAACTACTTTTCTTCATCTGCATTTGTTCGTGTGTATGGGATAAGAGGGCAAAGTCGTCTGTGAAGTCCGAATCTTCTAATTGATTCCGAGTTGTTAATTGTATTCCGTGCTTTCCCTCAGATGTCGAGGCCTAGTCAACCACCAGAATAAAAAGAAAAAGAGAGAGTCAACAGCCTTGTCCAACTCCGTTCATCATTTGGAATGCATCTGTCAGTTGTCTTCCATGCACCACTTTGCACTGTAGTTCGTTGTATAAATTCCGGGTGATATTGATGATATTCTCAGGTACAACGTAGTGTCGAAGAAGTTTCCATAATGTTCTTCTGTATATAGTGACTGATTGCTAAACAATTATCCGTAGTTTCGTGGTTTGGTCTGTGCAAGACTGATCCTTGCGGAATCCAGCCTGTTGATCTCGAAGTTGGGCGTCTACTGCGGCTTTCATCTGGTCCAGCAGCACTCTGTTGAAAACCCTTCCTCATACTGACAATAGTGTGATGCCTCCGTAATTCTCACATTTGCTCATATTTTCTTTTTTTGGTATCTTGATGAGATATGTTTCTTTCGATTCTGTCTGTGGCACTTGCTTTTCCTCCCAAATCATCTTGAATAGAGCTTGAAGCATGTTAGCATTTACTTCTATTTCTGGCTTCAGTGCTTCAGCTGGCATATTGTCAGGTCCTGCGGCTTTCCCATTCTTCATCTGTCAGATGGTCATCTTGATCTCTTCGATTGTTGATGGCGTGACATCTATAGGAAGGTTTGTGCGCGCTGCTTCGATGTCCGATGGATTCAATGGAGCTGGTCTGTTCAGGAGTTCCTCGAAGTACCCTACCTATCTGTTTCTCTGTTCTTGAATTTCAGTGATTGTATTGCTATCTTTGTCCTTGATCGATCCCTGTAGTTTACTTAACTTTCCTGTCAGTTTCTTTGTCATATCATATAGCTTTCTTATATTTTCTTCTCCTGCAAGTTTTTCCACTGTCGTTGCTATTTCCCCCACGTGTTTCTGCCCGTTGGCTTAATGCTCTTCTTTGCTTGCATGTTTGCTTCAGTGTATTTAGCTTGTGATTTGTCTTTCTCTGTTCTTGTTTGGCTGTTGTTAATTGCTGTCTTTTCGTTCTTTTTTTCTTGAATTTTGTCAGGGGTTTCCATAGGAGATTCATTCCTTATCACAGTGGTTCCTTCGGTCCAGAACCTCCTGGCATGTTGAGGTAAGTGCTACTTTAACCCATTCCCAGTTGTTCTCTGTAGTGGTTTCTGCTTCGAGTAGATCGTGTAGGGCTTGGAACCTGCAGTTGAGAGTTATCTTGAATCCCTTAAGCTTGTTAGTATCTCGAAGAAAGGCTGTACTGTGTTCCTTTAGCTTTACGTTCATCTTTTGCACAATCGGGTGGTGATGTGGATCTATGTCAGCCCCTATCCTGGATTTCACGTCTTCCATTGTCCTTCTCAAACTTTTGATACACATATTTCTTCATATGGGTGTCGTTCCTTCCGACTTTGGTGCTTAGATCTCTCATTAGGATGGTGAGGTCCTTTCTTGGGCACTTCGTTATGATTGATTGCAGCCTCTCATATAACTGACCTTTACTATCTTCCTTGCTCTCCTCGATGCGTGCGCCACACTTGGTTAATAACAACATGTGTTACCTCAAATGTATCAGGCTATAAACCCTGTATACAGTGATTTCGTGCATCCTCAAAGCATTTGGAGAAGTTCTGAAGTTGTATTCTGTCCAGTTAATGTTATACAACCTGAAACCTAAACCAAGTTAAAAGAACTACCATGTAATCATTGAAAATAAGATGCCGATACTCAAGTACGTTTGATGAGCATGATAAAAATGTAATGCGTTACTTATTTAATATACTCACTGCCGAGTATTTTCTTTTAAGGTAGGCCAACATATTGTGCAAAAAATCTGAAAGCTTGTTTGTTACAATAAGCAAGAACACAATCACTTAAATGATATGTAAATCAATGTCAGATAATGACTCTCTGTGAAGCCATCTAATTAAGCTTATAAGAAATTTACTTACATTGGCAATGAATATTACCACGAGCTTATTCGTCTTGACACACAGTGTATTGAGAGGAATTTTTCAGAAATATATATATTGAGATTTTTGTGTTTAGGATTCCATAATGTATGCCTAATGAGTTATACAGCTTTTCATGCACTCAACAGTCCACATTCTGTTAAGTAAGAACTATGTTACTTAAAAACTTGTGATAGCTGATAATGGTGAAATAAAGCATACTGGTTATAAATCGATTCGTAGAATGAAATAATCCTGGTAAATAACAGATTCCAAGCAGTTTAATTACAATGTTTCTCTATGCTTTTATAATCGACATTGGCTAACAGTCCCGTACTCTCATTTTCTCATGTTTGAGGCTCGTTAGCCAAAGCACAGTGAAGATACGACTGGTATTCTAGTTTGACAACTAGCAACCAGTAACACCTTCTATATTCGAAGCTTTACCCAACCAATCAAAATCAGAAGTCAGAGGAGAAGAGGTAGGAAAGATATATTTGATACGTTATCAATATATCGAGAAGCGTTTACTCTAATCTGGCTAGTGAACGCAGGAGCTGTGTCCCACGCTGGTTCGTAACATGATCTGGCACGGATGCATGACTGAAAGCCTTCAGTTAAACAAGTTCACTTAAACAAATGTGGTCAGCATCCGATGTCAAACACTTAACGAGCTATTGATTAAACCCAACGAGTTTGTCGTTGGTAAACACTCTTCTGATAGCTTGCCATGTTTAGCAGCGTCTGGTCGTCTTTCCTTACACTAAGGAATCATAATGTACGACATAGTAATAAGGAAACAAAGTACAATGAAAATTTCGGTTCCTTGTGAAACTTCGTCGTTTTATTCCAGCCGTCCTGGGAAAGAGAAAAATAGAACGTGTGAGTGCATGTCGAAAATACACTCGTACTTGCGTAAGGACACAAGATGAGCGGGAAAAAAACTAATACACTTGCGACAGCGTAAAATCGATTTAAAAAAATTGTTTTTTCGGGTTTTTTTATATGAAAAAAAATATATATACGCTCATAAGTAAAAAAATTCTTTTTTTATAATAAATAATACAAAGGGAATTCGAGTTAAAGTTTGTGTCCTAAGTGCAATAGTCGTTTAAGTGTTCTGGGAATCTTACTCTTCTTCCAGAACGTGTTGTCTTATGTTTATTTTCTGACGTTAACGAAGTATCAACGTGTGTGTCGTCTGTCGAATGAGGTACTACAAGTGTAGAAGCTGAGTCTTTCGATTGTATCGAAAGAAAATCGATGTAACTAGGGTTTCCTTCTAAGTACGCTGCTTATAGGCGATCGATACTGATGCTATCGTTCGTACCGTTCTTATTGACTACACAGTACTTAGGTTCACACTGAAGAACTTTGAAGGGTCCTTCGTCTGCTGATTCGAGAGGTCGTCGATATGAGTCTCGACGAACGAAGACGTGTGTACTATGTCGTAAGTCAGGTTGAACGAAAACATCAGTCGATTGAGGTTAAGTGTGAGCAGGATTAACTGAACGTATTGTGTTTGTTAGTCTGCTCGTGTAAGAGTTTAGATCCATGTTCAATGAAGAAGCCGGAGGATTTACGAATTCTTCTAGAATTCGGAGTGTCCGTCCATAAGCTAGTTGAGATGCAGTGTATCTAATGTCAGCTTTCACTGCATTGCGGATACCTAGTAAGACGTGTGGAAGAGCGTCTGTCCACTGTGAAACGTTTGTAGCTAATAGTGAAGCTTTTAGTTGTCGATGAAAACGTTCTACCAACCCGTTTGCTTGTGGGTGGTAGGCGGTCGTTCGGAAGCGCGTGATTCCTAAAAGTGAGGTGAGACAACGGAAAAGTCCAGATTCGAACTGGCGTCCGCGGTCTGTAGTGATGGTTGAGGTGCAACCGAAATTTGCTACCCATCGTTCGACGAAAGCGCGAGCCACTGTTTCAGCAGTAATGTCTTTAATCGGTACTGCTTCTGGCCATCGAGTAAAACGGTCTATGCATGTTAGGAGATATGAGTATCCGTTTGAGTCGGGTAATGGTCCTACCAAATCTAGATGGACGTGGTCGAAACGAGCGTCAGGGGTTTTGAAAGAGCCTAAGGGACATTTGTTGTGTCTTATGATTTCTGACAGCTTACACAGGAGCGTGCCCACTCCCTCACGTCTTCATTAATGCCAGGCCAACAAAAGCGTTCGTCTATAAGTTTGACTGTTGCACGAGCACCTGGATGGGAAAGATTGTGAAACGTATTGAAGACGTTGCATCGATAATGTTTTGGTACGATTGGACGATCCCTACCTGTAGATGTGTCACTAAGTAAGGTTTCCTTACCTGATACCATCTGCTTAATACGTAGTTTTAAAGTTGTCGAGGATAACCCGTGCTGAAGATCAGTGTCTCCTTTTTAAGGCTGAGCGAGTTTAAGAAGGTCGATTCCTTGGAAACTCATCAAAGAACTTATTCGTGACAAAGAGTTTGCGACTGCATTGTTTGCTTCAGAAATGTGTTGTATATCTGATGTAAACTGCGAAATGTAGTCGAGTTGTCTAGACTCTCGCGATGAGTACTTGTCTGAAGATGAACTTAAAGAGAAGGTAAGGGGTTGTGATCGGTAAAAAGTGTGAATTCTCTTCCTTCGATGGAATGTTGGAAATGTCGTACAGCACAATACGAAGCTAGGAGATTCCTACCGAATGTGTTGTACCTAGATTACGTGTCCAGCGACCGTTTCCAGAAAAATCCTAAAGGTTGCCACGAGTTGTTAACTCATTGTTGTAAGACTCCTCCGATTGCTGAGCGGATGCGTCTACGGCGATACTGACGGGCGCTTGAGTGTCCTGATGAGCAAGCAGGGTTGCCTTAGCGATGTGTTCCTTAACTGTGGAGAATGTTTCAAGGGCTATGTCGTCTAAACTAATTGATTTTGCATTTCCACGAAGCTGATCGGTTAACGGTTTCATAAGTGATGCGCATTTGGGTATTAACCGTCTGTAGAAACTTACAAGTCCGTTAAAAGTTCGTAACTGCTTGATCGTGGTCGGTTCTGGGTAATCCAGAATCGCCGCCACTTTGCTTCTAAGGGGTCGGATGCCTTGAGCATCAAGAGTGTGTCCTAAGAAGTCTAAGGAGTTAGTTCCGATTCGGCATTTCTGAATGTTGACAGTAATGCCATGCCTTTGGAGTCGATCGAAAACAATGTCCAGATGCTTAAGATGCGATTCTCCGTCCGTACTTGCTATTAGACAGTCATCAACATACGCATGTACGAAGTTGAGACCTCGGAAGACGTCGTCTATAAACCTTTGGAAGGTTTGAGCCGCATTTCTTAAACCAAAAGGCATTCGTAGAAATTCGTAAAGACCGAAAGAAGTGATGATGGCGGTCTTAGGAATGTCGTCAGGTGCCATCGGTATTTGGTTATAAGCCTTAACTAAGTCGATTTTCGAAAACACAGTTGTACCTTTCAAGGTAGCTGTCAAATCGTGAATATGAGGCAGTGGGTAACGATCGGGAATGGATTTAGCATTCAGACGCCGATAATCACCAGTTGGCCGCCAATCGTTGCTGTCTTTTTAGGGACCATGTGCAATGGGGATGACCATGGACAATTTGATGGCCGAATTATCCCTAAGTCTATCATATGGTCGAATTCGTTTTTAGTCAACCTAAGCTTTTCGGGAGCCAGTCGTCGTGCTTTTGAGAATACAGGTGGTCATGTAGTCGAGATGTGATGTGTAACATTGCTGGTTACACAAGGCAATTTCGATGGCGGCTGATATATCCCGAAGTATTTGTCGAGTGATGATTGATATAAGGGGTCTATGGTGTGCTTAATTGTGACTGTGGATAATCTGCAACCAGAAAAAGGAGATACGCAAACAGATAACTTAGTGTTACTGTCTATTAACCTTCGTGAGCGTGTGTCGATGAGTAGATTATGGCATTGTAACAGGTCTATACCAATGATTGGCATAGAGACATCTTGTTGGGGATGTCAAATCCCCAGAACTTACTTGGTAAATGGCTTAATCTTGTAATTTTATTTTGAAAATTTGAATTTAGCTGTTTTCGCGCCCAAAGCGCTCTTTTTACCTTCACGTCATTTTCCCACTTGTAAACTATCTTAAACGCTATTGGTCCGTTGTTTCTTTGTGTGTGCTATTTACTAATAATGCTCAAGGACAATTTGTTGCTGTATAAATGCGCTTGACTTTTCCCCTTATTCGATTGCTTGTACTCGGCTGCTTACGGAATACATATGTATTCCCCCACTTGCCTTGGACTTCTTCATCTAGTTAGCGGGGCCTGGGACAACAGATTAGAATAGCTTATTGTGTCATTGGGTTTCGTTCGTTACCGCGGAATCGATTTAGTTTCAGGCATAACACATCTGCAATCACGAAAATCCAGTGAATGGGTTTGCGTAAACCCACGTTAAGGTAAACATACCTTTAACCATACGTAGCAATCGGTTTTCCGTTAGCTGAAAACTGAAAACCGACTCATGAAGTCTGTCATTAGAGTTCGCGGGAAGAACGCCAACTTCTGCGCCGGTATCAACAAGGTAGTGAATTTTCGTTGTCACATCCGTGACGTATGAGAAGCGGCTATGTTCGCCGGCTACGGCTGCCGTTAACGCGTGCCGGCTTGAAAGTTTCCCGAAATCTTATTCGTGTCGTTCGCCTTAGAGATCGGGTAATTGCAGGGTTTCCTACAATTTCTGGAAGACTTCCCATACTGGTTATGATATCAGCACCAGTCGGGATTATCTGTATCTCGTGGTCTATTTGGGGATTTATTTACAGCTACAACAGGATATCACGGATATTTAGAGTTTGGTAGCGCTTTTGTTCGTAAAACATTCTCAACTTAAAGATCCCAAACCTAGTCAACTTAGAAGTTAGGAGTGAAGGTGCTACAAGGTAAATTTAGGAGGTATTCAACTAATTGCTCTGGGGGATACGTAGCATGGTGCACCCAATAGTGACCTAGTGAGGATGTGTAATCGAGTGCTCCCAGCTAGAGTGTGTTTAGCAGGAAGAAAGAGGTTAGGATCAGTGTCGAAGATTTACAGACCTGTTTATTTCGGGGATTGATTTACCGTAGCACATGCACAAAGTTTACAAGGAAATTCATCTCAACCTAAACATCAATTCGTAGTCAGTAATATTGACTGCACGAGTCAAATGAAATCATGAAAAATATGGTTGTTGGAAGAACATCATTTACAAATTAGTTCCACATTAACTGTCTTCTGTTGAGGATTCTAGTGCTAACTAATTGGCTGCCCTGCGACGTGGTAGCTGCCGGTTTAAGTAACGACAAGGAGAAAATATTCATATTCAAATGATAATAACGTTAAATACGGCTGTCAATTTCAGCCGTAATGTTGCGGCCTAATATCTAGCCTACTCATATTGAACGATAATGGATAATAGACATTAGAAGATGTATTAGCCCTAATAGCGAACAGTTTCCCAAAAAATCAAACCTTCACATAAATATTTACAGCACAGGTCAACTGATCTGTCCTTACTGTTGACGAGAGGTGAAACTGTTTCTTTGTTTTTGTTCGGTTTGGCGGGAGTTTGGATTTACTTGGAAATGGCCTGCACAAAACTAAACGTGTATTATATACCAACATACACATCGATCTCCGTTTTTATCTTGATAGGTAACTTCCACTCAAAGTATTCTAGACGCCTCGTTAGGTCTTTATTATATTCTGAGTGGTGAAGGCCATAGATTCGATATAGGATGGTGCGTAATCTTACATTTTATTAATTGGTCTTCAGGGTTTTATCTGAAACATCACCCTACCTATGGGCTGCAATGGGTATTGGTTTAGCTATCTCCCTTTCAGTGGTTGGAGCTGCTTGGTAAGGGTGTTTTTCTTGTTATTAATGTACACCTCGAGTGGTTTTTACGAATTCAACGAAAAATATGAGGATCATGGAAGTATTTAAACCAGGCAAAAATAGGCTAAAGACGTAATGAGTAGGGTAAGCGATGGACGCATGCGTCCATATAAGGACATTTAAGGTTACAAACGAATAGTTGACTGGGTCAAAATGTGACTCAAAATGAATAAATAAGTCGTTCTGTCCAGAGGCTAGAATAACTCAGGTGGGTTCGACATACTATTAAATACAACATACCCCCCCACAAGTTAGCTTCTTAGATCCAAATGTTTGTTGACAGAATGGCTTTCATTTAACTAGCCTCTGTGTTTCGAACTAATCGGTCGCCGATGCCTATAGATAAAAACTTTGATATATGAAACAGAGTCGAGAGAAATATTAATAAGATAATGTGACATGCAGTTCTAAATCTTAATGAATTCATAAAGTTTTTTCCTAAAGTAATCCAGAAAAATTGTTTGGACCATTGAAGTCATAATCACATCCCAAAATTTGCCTTGGAGGTAGTAGAGATTAAGTCTATAGTTCAGTTAGCTTTGGGTCACCTCTTAGGGTTTGTTAGTACTGTGCTGGATAAAGGTATTCTAGAAATTGCTTATGCGTGCTTAAGATACTGTAAGTTGTAAGTTCACCCGAACCATTTATACTCTGATGGGTAAAGATCTAGTGGTTTCATACAATTTTTATCAAGCATAAATCTAAGCCCCTGAATTGATTTCGTGAGTCGTATTTGAACACACTCCGTACTATCCTTTTGGAGTAAAGGAAACATTTCATGGCAAGTGTTCACAGTAAAATATTATGTTGATCTTGTCAGTCAGCAGAAAGTTAAGAATAGTAGTTTTCGATAAATGTTTGTCTGTCTGATGTAAATTGAAACAAATTATACCTAGAATTATGCTGGTTTTCTGTGGATTTTATAAATAGGTCAATTTTCAAGATAGACTGCATTTATGTGCTTAACATTTATTTCCTTATAGGGGCATCTATATAACAGGCTCTAGTATTCTAGGAGCAGCCGTCAAAGCACCTCGTATTCGTACAAAAAATTTGGTTAGCATTATTTTCTGCGAAGCTGTTGCAATTTATGGGATTATTACAGCTATTATTATGCTAAGTCAAGTTGGGGTGGGTTGAGAATTTTTTATGCTTCCATTTCATACTGTTGTCATTTTGATTCAAATTTACCTGGTTATTAAAATCTTGATAAGATGAAATAGTCTTCTTGTGTGCTACAAGTTCTAAAGAAATATGCTCTTATCGCTGACTTGATAGTTCGGTGCTTCACAAAACGTAGGATTACAAGCGAAAGTAAAATAATGGCTTTATCAACATATCTGGCATAAATTTCCATGTACCACTTTTGTGTAAGTATTTTGAAGTAAAGCCATGTATATAGTGCACACATCTACCACAATGGGAATCTTACTTATCGTGTAAAAATAACCTCTATTGCTTCACCATGAAATTCAATTTAAGCAAAGCGAAATATGATATGTTGTGACCTGAATTCCTTGCACGCTAGATGTTTGCATTCATTTGATATTTACACCAAAAGTAGAGGCAGTGATAATAAAATCTGTTGAGGATAATTAATCGATAAATTTCTTAAAGTATGATAAAGTGTCTAAATGACGTGTTGATGTTTGTCACTGGCGGTCAGGGATATTTTTTTCAAGGTAATTTAAGCAAACATTGAGTGGAACGTGGTTGACCATGTTTATGGCTTTTAGCTACACTGATTGTATGACAGTTAAAAATATATACTACTGAGTTTCCGATACCAAATTAAGTGGAGCACTCTTTATCTTCCTTTAAACCTTGAGACTAAAATTGCTTCATAACTTTTTTTCCTTCCTATACTATATCATTATATACTACTACCACCACTAAATTAATTACTTCTATGAATCCGGTGTTCATCTTGTTGTGCTAACGAGGTATGGCAACTTGGACCGATGCACAAATGTGCCTGGTCCTACGTTGTAGCTGACTGACTGGAGCAAAGTTCAAATCCAGTACCTATTGGTTGAAAATAGATTACCTTAGCCACTAAGCCTCCACTCTATATTGACATGTTCTTACCTTACATAGTCAAACGGATGACATATTTTTCATGCTACGTATTAATAATTTCTCATATTTTGACCCTATTCCACATACCTATAGAATGTGCTACTATTTTAATAGTTAGCTACTTCTATTTCCATCGTATTAAACATATATTCATCCATTTGCTATTATTCAGTTGGATATTCAGTGTGTAGCGCATAACATAAGTATATATATTTAAACTATATCACCTTCAATTGAATAATAAAAGACCTGTTTAGAAAAATAATTGTAATTAAAATTGACTATAACAAAAAGAAGAAACAAAGAATGCATGATTTTTAAATGATAGGGTGTGGTATTTGTACCAAATAATGTGGATTCACCTTATTAAATTATATCGTTCTTCAGTGGTTTCATACATTTTTGGTCCTATCGCCTATTTTTGATCTGAATGTACGCTACGTAAACATTTAATAAAACTACGTTCAGTCAGTCATACGCTACATAGAACTTGACATATATGTATTGGTTTAATTCTCCGTATCAAATTAATATAGTAAGATAAGATTACCAAGAAAAATTCCAAAGTGGTAGGAATTGTAACAGTATTGGTAGTAGTAAAAAAAAGGCATAGGGAGATTTCTGGACTCTGGTTCTAAGGGAAGATAAGGAGCAAGTGCACCTGCGCCATTGCGAACGATTTTGAACCATACCAACCAAATTCTCTAACCATTGATTACTATGATCACCCGAACCCAAACCACGTAGTGTACACACCTGTCAACATGTCTCAGTACAATAATCAATGAATTTGTGAACTAATACTATATCTTGATCTGGCCACTTGTAACTTTCTTACGATCTACTCCTACACCGAATAACATCGCCCGTCAACGTAGGCGGTGGTTGGGCATATATTACTCATATCTCATCCACCTTAGTTGCTATAGATTGAGTATCTCATCAACCGATAATCTTGGCATTGCTCACTTGGTGGTCGCAAAATACATGAGTAGTGTTTCGAAGATACCTATAACCAAATACTAGTACGTTTGCGGTTCATCAGTTCAGAGATTTGGGCACGAAAATGTTAGTCAGTCCAACATTTTGCCAATGGTTGAGCAAGAGATCATGCAAAAAGGTATGACTTGTGATCTAATATATAAGTATGTCTGCAATATATTAAGTTGCATTCAATCATAGGACTTATTTTCTATAGTTTTTAGAAAATGACATTTTTCTCAGATATAGCAACTCATAATTATATGTATTGTCATCAAGATTTTTAGTCCGTTAATTGATTTTATTTGTTGTAAGTAAGATCGGTCGAATTTAAAACGAGGTGATTGAAAAGTTCTGTCTTATATACATTAAAGTGGTATACGTTTGTAACTAAATGAAAAAATCCATTTCAGTTATTGACTTTAAAAATAATAAGTGTGTATGGTAAATGTAAACCTTACTGACAAAATAACTAAATTTAAGATAAGGACTATTGCATTGTTGCATATAATTTAAGACTTGATCTATGACCTGTATTTATTTTAAAAATTCAAGCAATATGTAAGTTAAACTTACCACTGTTTAATTGTTAAGAAGTCTAGACTTAATAAACATCAGGGGGCTGTATATATGATTTACAACAATAAAATAATACTCATCGAGTAGTTACTCCATGTAATAATTATATAATACATTTATTATAAAATAATACTGAGTAATTAGAAAAAAGGGGGATCGTAATCAAAAAATTTAACAGTCTCTACGTTGCACAGCATATAAAATGAAAGAACTAGTAAAATATTTTGATGCAAGGTCAGTATTATAACAGTTATGTAAGAATCAAGGGACAATTGTTGAGAATATGTAAAATACAAAAGTGGAATAAATTTGTAAATAGTTTAAATATTTTTGAAGGAAGGGTTTTCATCAAAGTTTAGCTACAAACTCATCCATATACCGATGGACAAAGTAGCAAGAGTGGTTGTACAAATTCCTTTTGGATGCAAAGGCTAAGTTTATTTTATTTTATTTAAACACATAAATATCGGTACAAGGAAGCACCAGATAAATATGCGCCTCACAAATCTCATTTGATTTGTGTTAGGGCTGTGATACTGCCCAGGTGCCCAGACTGAAGCAGGTGGTTTTCTTAGGGGACCACACTCCGAGCCTTTGACCTGAAGGTCGGATCCACAAGGCAGTGGAGCAACGTCAGGAGATGCAGTCCCATGGTAGCCGGTGACCGACGATTGGTTCATACACCATTTGTTCCTTCAGAATACTGGAGCCCATGTGCACCATTGGTTTGTAATCAGGGTTTTCCAACTCCCCAAGGTGGATCCTCCACATCCACCAACCCGGTTAAAGCACCGGGTGAACAACACCCCTGGTGTGAGAAGTCAGTGAGTAGGACTTCCCTGATAGAGACTATATATTCGCGTGGCCATATAAGAGCATTTGGAGAGGGAGAGCACTCTCCCCACTCTCGGCCGTACCAGGGCATTTGGGGGCATTGGCTAAGTTTGTGCACATAAATTCCAACTGCTTCAGCAATGTACAAAAGACGAACTCGTTAATCATGTGGTAAATTTAATGGAATATGGTGGATCACCTTTGAAGCTTTATTCAAGTCAATTTAATGACCTGTGTTCCACTAAGTGAATGAGAATAGAACTCTTAATCACTTTTACCTGTCTTTTGCTTAACCGAGACGGATGGTGTTCTGCAATGCGATGACGGACTAGTCGGATGAGATTCTCATATATAACTGACTCCACAATAGTTCAATTGGTAAATACACATACATGTGGCGAATTGAGGCAGTCTTTATTAACGGTTCTTATTATAAGGCGATTGTAGAAAACGGCATTCAGTCTGGCTTCATTAAATGTTTTCTGTACCGCCTTTCTTATTCTTAGAGACAGTTTCCTCAGTAGCATTATTTGGGAATTGTAACTTTAAGAACAGTACTTTCTTCGCAGCGGCAGATACATTTGGCCTTCTTTTAATCTCTTTCATGTATTTGTTGATGAGTTTCATTAAGTATCCATTCTCAACTAAGCAGATCACGAATGTTATTCTAATAATCTACACTGGTATCATTAGAGCAAACCATTTTAGCACGATGAGTCAAGGTTTTTACAAAGTATTTTTTTCATAAAATTTATCTATATGCGTACAAAATTTTCTTTTATTGATTTCTTAACAGTTACTCTTATTTCATAATTCTAGCCTTCTTTTTGAGTTTTACATCATCAAATATTTATTTATATCTCATGCATTCTGATTGACCGAAGATCTTTCCAACTTTCCATACATTTATAGTCTTACAATCCTGCAGGTGCAAGTGAAGCCATTATTCGTCAAGCACATCGAGCTGGTTATGCAATGTTTGCGGCTGGATTGACTGTTGGTTTTTGTAATCTTATCTGTGGTATATGTGTCGGTATGGTTGGTTCTGGTGCAGCTTTGGCAGATGCTGCAAATTCTGCATTATTTGTTAAAATACTTGTAGTGGAGATTTTCGGTAGTGCAATTGGGTTATTTGGAATAATTGTAGCTATTCTTCAAGTAAGAAATATGATTTATCTCAATCAGTTTATGATCAAAAGTTTTTCGATTTGTAAAAATAGTCTTTATTTAATGTTATTATGAATGTATGTAACCAATGTGTTCGTTTAAAAATTATTGAGTGTTAGGCTTCCAAACATGGAGTCCTAGGTCTGGCCTCAAATCTATCTGCTTGGATTCTTGCAACTGTGAATAGTTTTTATTAATTTCCACATAAAACTAGTGTAGCTCATTTTTTATCTCATCAGTTACAAATTCTTGTGCTTGGCTTCAAGGTACTCTCTAAATGTGAGGTCGAAATAGGTGGAGTGGGGTTCGAATCTGTAACTTTGGTGGTTGAAAGTCGAAGATCTCAACCACTGTTCCACTCAAAGCTGAATAAGTGACCTTGAATTCGGTTTACAAGTCACATTTGGCTAGTATAAGTAATTTAAATAAGTAAATGTCTTAGGGGAAGTAAATTTTACTCAGGTTCAAATTGTTACTACAATTGATTTCAGAGAGATATTTATCATTAACTTCACTGTTGCAACCTCTCAGAAAATAAAATTGAAAATGTACATCATTACTTTTTTAAGAGCCTCCGTATTATGTTCTTTAGTTCGTGTTATTTATCAGTGTGAGGAGTTTGTGGAGACTGTTAAGTTTGATGGATCATGACAGGAACTGAATTAAGTTAGGTATTCACTGGAAAGCAAGAAGCATTAGACAGTTATTTTATCCTAATATGCAACCCCTCAGTGGTGTCCATTCAATACTTCACCAGGGGTAGTTGGGCCTAGGACTTTCAGGCATAGCATCGTGTGGGATGTTGAATCAACGGCTTAAAGGCTAAGAGCTCGTAGCGAATCTTCAAGGTACTAAGTTTGATTTCCGGTAGGCTCCTGTTATTTGACGTGTAAAAATCATTTATTGCAATGATGTCATGCAGTCTGTCTTACTTTTATTAAGAAAGCAAATAACCTACAGCAGTAAGAACATTAGCGATAAGATCATGATGCACGGGAAGGAGCCGAGCTTTGAAGAATTTGTGGTCTTTTTAGAAGAGAGGGCCAGAATCGCCCGAACCCGTTATGATAGATTAGTACAGCGTAACTCAAAGTTCGGTAAAGGGATTTCTGAAGGCCAAGCTGATAGGAGATCACGCTTTCATGCAATTAGACGAGACCCAAATAACTCAGTCAAGGTATCAAGTTGTACAATCTGCTTAGGCGATCATGAGGAGACAGATTGTCCAAGGTTAGCAAAAATGAATGTAAGAGAAAGGAGGCAGGAGATAAGAAGACGTGGTCTATGTTACTTATGTTTGAGGAAAGGTCACATAGCTATGTCATGCAACTCGGGCTTCAAGTGCGACGTTGAGAACTGCAAGGTTACTCATAATTCATTATTGCATATTGATGGTATTGATAACCATGTGGTGCATCTAGCTAAGGATTGGAACTCCTGAAGGGTTTGTTGGGGTATCGTTCCAGTCAGACTATACGGTCCCAAAGGATGTTTGGAAACATATGCACTTCTAGATTGTGGTTCAGACACTTCTCTTGTATGTGAAGAATTAATTGATAAGTTGGGTATCAAAGGTAAAGAGAATTCGATAAGAGTGGCGACTGTGAACGGAACTACCAATTGTGAATGTTTGGAGGTAAATTTAGAAGTATTTTCATTAGATGAACGGGGTTCTATAAAGATCAACAAAGTTTACACGACCAAGAAACTTCCGATCGATCATGCAGCATCTTTAACCGAACTCCAACTGAAAAAGTGGAAACATTCAAAGGACATAACCCTTCCGAGGTTGCAAGGTAATTTTGTAGGGATATTGATTGGATGTGACGCTCCAGATGCACATTGGGTCTTAAAACAACGTCTGGGGGACAGGAAACATCCGTTTGCTGTGCGAACCCATCTCGGTTGGATGATTATAGGTCCTAAGGGAGCATCAAGTTCAGTGGTGTCATTGTTCTAATGATATTTTGCGAGATATAGAAAGATAATAGTCTTCTTCAGAAAAATCAAGCTGGGATGAATAAACATTTAAGTAAAGACTACATCATTGAAACTAGTAAGGAGGGATTTGACCGTGATGCTGTTTGTTGGTATAATCCTCATCATCCCGTTATCAACCCTAAAAAGCCTGGAAAACTCAGAATCGTTTTCGATTGTGCAGCTGTATATCAAGTTTTTCTCTTAATGATCAGCTTTTAAGAGGACCAAATACCGTAAATAGTTTATTTGGTGTACTTCTACGATTCAGATTAGGTAACGTAGCATTAGCCGCTGATATCGAAGAGATGTTTCTTCAAGTAAGGATCCCGAGACAAGATAGGGGAGCGTTTCGTCTATTGTGGTGGGAAGACGGTGATATAAAACGAACGGCTAAGGAATATTGTTTAACAGTTCATCCGTTTGGAGCCGTGTCCTCCCCCTTTTGCGCTAATTTCGCTCTTAAGAAGACGCTAGATATATTCGGTAAGGAATTTAATAGAGATATCCAGGAAGTCGTAGATAAGAATTTCTATGTCGACGACTATTTAGCCTCCATTGATAATGTACAGGATGCAATTAAGCTGGCAAAAGCTCTTGGTTTGCTCCTCAGAAAAGGTGGGTTCAGACTTACGAAGTGGATAAGTAACTGTTTACAGGTTCTCGAATCAATTCATCCAGAAGAGAGAGCAGAAGCCGTAAGAGAGATTGACTTTGAAAGACTTCCTACGGAACGCACGTTGGCATTATTTTGGAATACTATGGTTGATTCGTTTGAATTTAAAGTTCACATACCGAAACGTCCCCTCACTAGGCGAGGTATATTGTCGAGTGTAGCCTCACTTTACGACCCCTTGGGATTGTTAACACCGTTTATATTTCCCATGAAGCAGTTACTTCAACGTTTGGGTAAATTGGGACTAGGATGGGACGAAGAGATTCCAAATGAGGAGAGCGAACGCTGGTTAGAGATTTTAAGTGAATTTCAGAGGGTTGAGAACGTTAGTTTTCCACGTTGTGTATTGTTTCCGCAATCAGATCGTTCGCTCCTGGAACTTCATATTTTCAGTGATGCCTCGGAAAAGGAATATGGGGCTGCCGTAAGTTCCAAGCGCGGTATAGTTTGGACCTTTAACGGGGCTACTCTTGCCTTAGCCGTAACAAGACGAGAACATACCTCAGTGTCAGAAATGTAAGAGCGGACGTATGCCACTGCCCCATATTCATTTTCCGAGGCATCACTGAAAATATGAAGTTCCAGGAGCGAACGATCTGATTGCGGAAACAATACACAACGTGGAAAACTAACGTTCTCAACCCTCTGAAATTCACTTAAAATCTCTAACCAGCGTTCGCTCTCCTCATTTGGAATCTCTTCGTCCCATCCTAGTCCCAATTTACCCAAACGTTGAAGTAACTGCTTCATGGGAAATATAAACGGTGTTAACAATCCCAAGGGGTCGTAAAGTGAGGCTACACTCGACAATATACCTCGCCTAGTGAGGGGACGTTTCGGTATGTGAACTTTAAATTCAAACGAATCAACCATAGTATTCCAAAATAATGCCAACGTGCGTTCCGTAGGAAGTCTTTCAAAGTCAATCTCTCTTACGGCTTCTGCTCTCTCTTCTGGATGAATTGATTCGAGAACCTGTAAACAGTTACTTATCCACTTCGTAAGTCTGAACCCACCTTTTCTGAGGAGCAAACCAAGAGCTTTTGCCAGCTTAATTGCATCCTGTACATTATCAATGGAGGCTAAATAGTCGTCGACATAGAAATTCTTATCTACGACTTCCTGGATATCTCTATTAAATTCCTTACCGAATATATCTAGCGTCTTCTTAAGAGCGAAATTAGCGCAAAAGGGGGAGGACACGGCTCCAAACGGATGAACTGTTAAACAATATTCCTTAGCCGTTCGTTTTATATCACCGTCTTCCCACCACAATAGACGAAACGCTCCCCTATCTTGTCTCGGGATCCTTACTTGAAGAAACATCTCTTCGATATCAGCGGCTAATGCTACGTTACCTAATCTGAATCGTAGAAGTACACCAAATAAACTATTTACGGTATTTGGTCCTCTTAAAAGCTGATCATTAAGAGAAAACGTTGATAGACAGCACTCAAGAACACTGTATTCATAATCAATCTTTATCTGACTGATCCAGTAGTCAAGAATCTATCTTGCTAACATTTGTCTTTTGTAGTTATTTATCACTTTATAATTTACATCAGCACTTGTGTATATATCATTCTGAAATTTGTATTCCTAATTTTGCTATTTTCAGATTTCTGGCAAGAAAATTTCTGATAAAGGTTGAAGAGTACGTAAGACTGGAGACTAAACGAACACTATTCCGTCTCACTCTACTACTACTTATACCTTAGTTTTTCTCATGATACTCTCTCTCTCTCCACATGTGTTACCATTTTTTTAGAATTTAAGTTTTGCGTATCGGCTGTGTTGCTAAACTCTCTCCTCTTTCTCTCTCTTTCCACCAATTTTCTATTTTGTTTTTTCGAAAATGTCCGTCTAATATGATTAGTTGAAAAGAAAAATTGATTCATTTCTAACTCAGTGAATAGTATTTGTTACTTGTGTCATATTTATGATCGAAATATCGATTTATGTTTTCGTTCCTCTTATCATTTGATACATATATGTGTTACAATTCAATGCATAATATTTGATATCATTATTGTTATGATTAACAATTAACCAAACATGATAGCGATGTGTTTTACTCTATCACGCTGTTATGCTACTCATATTCCTTTCATTGTGTGTGTGCGTATGTGTTGATTAAATAAATATTTATTTTTTAGTGATTGTATCGTGTTTTGCATTCCTAAGGTCCAAAGACGAAGTCGTACTGCTGACTGTACAGAGGTGTGACAGCAGTAAGGTGTTTCCTTCAGACAACCAGCATGACAGCGATGCTGCCTTCCCACAAGGAGGAGTGGGGTTAGAAAAGGTCGACCCTAAAAATGCACACCTCGCCTTATCCCACGGATATCCGTCTCCGGCGGTAAGGTCCTTTGAAGTACGGAGCTAACAGAAAACCTACCCACAAAAAGGCCGTGCGTGACCGGCATCAAGCAGTTGTACCTAGGGCACTGCGGTCACGCTCTCAGGTCTTTAAGACCACTTTTAACCCAATTTCCTTTTCAGGTACCTCTAGAAGAACCCTTCCACGGTATGGGTAACCGGGAAATGATAACAAAATGCAAAGTCTTCTGTTAGAACTGAGTAATAATTATGCCAGGATGTTTGGGATGTGTTTCTCCCCATCTAAATGTAAATTGTTACTACAGGACTGGCCTGCATCAACACCTGAACTAAGGATAGGGAGTGAAGTAGTCGAAAGCGTCGACAACTTCACTTGGAAGTCTGATCAGCCCTAACGGGTTGGTGTCTGACGAAATCTCAGCACGGATTCAAAAAGCTCGTTTGGCTTTTGCCACCTTACGTCACCTATGGCGAAGACGAGATATCCGTCTATCAATTAAAGGACGAGTATATTGCGCAGCAGTTCTCTCTGTTCTGCTTTACGGCTGCGAAACGTGGCCATCAAGAGTTGAAGATATTTGTAAGTTACTAGAATTTGACCACAGATGCCTTAGAAATATTGCTCGCATCTGCTGGGATCACCGAGTAAGTAATAGTGAGGTTAGACACAGGGTATTAGGGAATGATAGTAAATCAGTTGATGAGGTCATGAATCTTCATCAACTGAGATGGTTAGGCCACGTGTTACGTATGCCTGAACACCGATTACCACTACGCGCTATGCTGATTAGTGTAGGGGATGGTTGGAAGAGAGTCTGGGGCGGCCAAACCAAAACGTGGCATCAGAGCATGAAGCCACTAACTTCTAGTCTGAGCCATGTTGGCAGATGCAGACTACTTGGTTGGGGTCCGCGTGACTATCGTAACCAAAGGTTGGAGACTCTAGGTGACATGGTTCAGAATCGATCACAATGGCGTAGGTGTATACACTCTTTATCTTCCCTTAAACCTTGAGACTAAAATTGCTTCATATCTCCCTTCCTGTTTTATATCCTTATATACAACCTTTCTTTCATATATTAACACCACTAAATTAAGTACTTCTATGAATTCGATGTTGATTTTGTTGTGCTAACGAGGTATGGCAACTTGGACCGATGCATAAATGTTCCTGGTCTTACGTTATAGCTGACTGACTGACATCCCTACATCAGAAAATAAACTCTTACTATAATCAAAGTTGTAATATCATATATTCAGTTAGTCTGTCCTAAGCAAAGTAGAGCTTGGCACATACATGGACCAGTTTTAATTTATCACACCATTACATCAACATGGAGAAAGGAAAGTATTAAGATAAATACCATAGTTCTAGTAGTAGTATCAATGGTAGTTAAAAAGAGCACTAGACATAGAGAACATGATTTGTGACCGGTTCTGAGCCATGTTACCCAAAGCTTCCAACTATTCGTTACCATAACATCACAAGCCTCACTCTGATAGTTTGCATCTGTTTATGCAGCACAGTCTGACAGTCAGTTACTTCATAGATATTCTACGTTTTGGTTTGGGTGACCTTAGCTTCCAGTATAATTCTACGTAGGACATCGTGTGTCGAGTCATTCAAGGGTCAAACATACGTCACTTATTTCCTAAATAAAATTGATGAATGTTCTACTTCATCGATTGTTTTACCTTCTTTGCATCTAGTCTCAGAATTTCTCACTCGATGGTCTTAATATACCTGAGGGATTCTTTGTTGGCATCGATGATCAAATGCTAGTAATCTAACGAACGTCTTCTATTTTTAATGATCATGTTTCATAATACCATTAGTCCTGCTGATGATAATTTGATTTTTCCTAGTACTATGTTAAATTTGATGACGATGCTAATAATAATTAGTCAAGATTTGTAAATAATTAACTCTTAGTTTAATTCAGGGATAATAACTAGAGATTATGTTTTATAAAATTTAGGATTAAACGTGTATGTTAAGTAGACTAATAGATATGTTGACCAGGTACATTTTGTCATGAACCGAGCTACCTGGAGAGTTTGATGGGTTTGAGGAATCGGATTATGTTGGAGACGGATACGTAGATACTGGGTTTAATTCATTGTGAAAGTTGTTTGGTAGCCGATTCATTACTAATCATAACACACTGGTTCAAATTTCCTGACTTAAAAGTATCCCTAAGATATAAATAACATAGAACTAAAAAAGATATAAGCATCCTACCGTGTTACATTAGAGAGGAAACTGTTAATTTGAATACTATTTCAAATGGTAAGTTGCTTAATCAATGTGTAATTACAACATTAACCATTTATTTGATTCTGTAAATAGAAAAAAAAACAATTTGTTATAGTTTCATTTCACTTCAAACACATTTTACTTCAACTGGAAGAGCATTTATTCTAAATTAGAAAACGTTCATCAACAAGTGTTTTTCTAGCTGTATTACGACGTCCAAGATCGTCACGTAATAAAGTGAATATCTGAAATAAACAGGAACGAACAATAATTGTTTTTATCCAATGGAATATTAATTTATTAATATTATTGTTTGGAATGGATGGATTGGGATTCCCAATCGAATCCAGTTGAAATGCTCTTTCGTCTTATTTGGGACTCGTCAGCTGAATAGATTTGGATTCTGGTGTTAATGTTAAGATTGAAACTTAAGCTAAGCACTATTCGCTTTAAACTCTGACCTGTTATTCACGGGTCAGCTAACAACAGGTATGATGTCTATATCATAAGCCTTTCGGAATAGGTCAAACATTTAAGACAATGAATTCACAATCTGTTTTCAAACTCATCCAATGTGTTCGACATATGAACTGTGGCGCATATATATCTGGTGTCCCTTGAACCAACATTTATGTGTTCAAATAAATAATGGATTCTTGGAATTTTCAAAATACATAATGTAGACATTCTTTCAGCCTATAAAGATCGTTACGAACAATTTCAAACTTTTGCTAAAACTTTATACTTTACTGGACGTCAGATTGTACCTTTACGGCGATCGGATTCATTTAATATAAATAAATCAAACTACATTGCCCAGACTGCGCACTCTTTGGGATTTTACCATAAAATTTAGGTCATTTGGTTAGCGAGAAAATAAACTGGTGAATTTACAGTTGCAGGACGAAATTGTGCTAGTGGTTGTACTAATGTCGAGGGAGTGGCAGTAGCATCTCTAGTGAAACTGCTTTTTTTACAACAAAAGATCTGGTTAGGAAAGATTAGACTTAAAAAGACCAGGCTTCATTTTCCCTCATGGCTTTCTGATGTCACAAATAAACCTTCAAAGTTGAGCTTAGCTAATAAGTCATATGCTGTTCACATAAAGGTCTGATAAGATCATTGACAACTAATCGTCTCTGATTGCCTCGTAATTTTGACATTATTACCTAATAAGAAAACACGTTTCTAAGAGACAAACTTATTTGTTAGTGTAGGGGCTCTTTTACACACCAATAAGGTTGGGATATAGTTGTACAATAAAGTGAATTGTTCGAAGCTTAACATGTACACCATTGGGTGCCAATTCAATGGTCTAAAGAATTAACCCATGTCGAAACACCTGAAAGCTGTGAGTTCAATCCCTGATAGGATGGTAGATGAGCATTTCTAAGGAATCCTTTGATAGGACGAAACAGCTGTCCAGTGCTTTGTAGTTTTCAATGGCTGTCTAAGGTCTATCAGCAATATAAATAATAAAGGAAATTGATGGAGTTGATAATTCAAATAAATTTTTACCTTAGATAAAGAGTAAAAACTTACACTTCCTATTAGAATGACGAAAAATGCTGATAATATTAAATTTTGACTTAATAAATCCACTAAACAGAATAGAAGTGCATCAAATGTGAATAACAACCATTCATTTCCATAATACAAAGTATCACCAAATGAATTACCGTCATCTATAGATGTAAGAAAATTTATATGTAGATATAAAAGAAATTTGGTAAGAATTAGATTGCAGCCTTAAACATCAATGGGACAATTCAAATAAACAATATTAAGTGAAGATGGATGGTGACTAGCAGTGGAATTCAGGACGCGCGTTTCGTTCTATTTGGGACTTGTCAGCTGGATGTACCTGCATCTCACGGTTGGTGTTCACTCTGGGACTCGAAACCAGTACCTTTCGCTTCAAACGCCATCGCGTTATCCAGGTACATCCAGCTAACGAGTCACAAATGGGACAAAACGCGCGTCAAACTGGATTCCACTGCTAGCCACTATCCATCTTTGCTTACAATGCATGTGAATTAAGGCTAAATCAAGGCAATACGCACAGTATGCATATATGCCAGTTAGAGACTGACCAGTTGCAGTCCTAAACATCAATGGGAAGATTCAAACAAACAATACCAAGTGAATTTAATACTAAGTGAATTAAATAGTTTGTTTTTAGTTGGATAATAGTTACACTGGTTTTTTTAGTAAGCATTTATATTTATGTATTGTTGTCGCTAAAAAAACGCTAACCAGAAAAATATATTAATTGGAAATTCGTACTGCATTAAACTTGAATAAACGTTTCCCGGTAAAGCGAGTCAGTCTTTTAATTACGGCCGCAGATTGGTTCTCGTTACCAATTGTAGTTAAATTGCTTTTACATTGTATTTATTGTGCAAAGTTTACAGCAAAAAATGGAATACATGAGTAGAAACTATCGGATACTTGTTATTAAGTCACTAGGCTTTTCACTGAAATCTATCGACGGTTGTCTAGTAACATTGCATATTATAAGATTCAGGGGAAATATTGGGTGAATCCCCAAAGTTTTGGGG